AAACCAAGTGAGTCTTGCTTGGCAATAAGTAAGAGTTTAAGAAATAAGTTACTACTGTTGTTGACAATGTTGTTGACACTATGAACTAGTATTTGACAGGGATACCAGACAGACGCATCCGATGACCCTCTACTGAGGGTAAAATGAATATGGGCAACAAAGTCCTTAGATCCAAGCAAAGGGGACCCCACAGTTTAGAATCCCCCCCTCTGATCTTTCTCCAGCCGTTCTCAGGAGTCAATAGGGTCAAGTGACTTGCCTACCTGTATCTTCACTCCTTTTCTAAGTCATTCTCCATGTATGGTTTGACTCCACTTTTAGGCCAATATAAGCCCCTTTCCTGATATACTCAAGGGTGGATCATGACAGCCAGCATCTACACCCTGCACCCTAGGTCAAAGGGAGTGGACAGAACTTGGAGACTCTGGTGGGAGTGTTCACATGGGTGAGGCCCCTCATAGTACAGAACAGAGCCAGGGCTGAAAGAGAAAGGGAGCAAGCTATAGGCTGGGGCCACCATTTGTATTCTTTCCTCAACTCCACAAATAATAGAGGTGAGCCTAGAGGTGGACAAGCAAGTATGTCCAACTAACCACAAAGTTAGGCAGATATTCCATGTCCTTGTGTCCCAGACTTCTATTGCCACATGGGGGAAGCCAAAGTTAACAAGCCAAGAAGTAAAATGAATAGCCTGTGAATCCAACAAATTGCAGGTGTAAATGGAAAAGCTCTTGTGAAATACAAAGAAAGAAAGTTAGAGGAAAGCCCTTTCCCTATGGATGTGGTGTTATTCACCTTTCCAGGCAAACTGATTCTGGGGATAAAGTAAAATGTGGTCAGAAACTGCACCCTACAGCCAACACGTCCCATGGGACTTTAATGGGCGACAGCAACCCAGCCCTAGAAGGGTTATAAAAGGTTGATATCTCCTGGGCCAAGGAAACACGGGCTTCTTTCCATTATTGTTGACTCAAGGTCCATCCTGGCAGCTCTCAGAGATTTCAGTAGAAAAGGAAGCTTTTTACATTCTTGGCCCAGCTATTTCAGTTTCTTGAACAGAATTAGTAAGATGGCAGCGTCAGACACTTGGGAAGAGTTAGAGAACTGTTGAGGTGTCTGGGAAAAGGTATTTTAATAGACACTTAGGAGAAATTATCTGAGGAAGAATATAGT